ATGGTCTGTGAAGGAAGGGCCTCTTTGTGCTATGAGTAGGCACAAGGAAAACAGCCCATGATAAGAAGGATTTCATGTGCACTTTGTTATAAGGAACTTGAAAAGGTCAAGCTCGAAATAAATATATTGGACACAAAAGCAAAGCCATGAGAGATTTGGGCCCTGTTCTGTTTTTCCTGAGAAGGGGCTCAGAGCTCTTATCAGACCATGTCTATATGACCCCAAAGCAACAGTGAAAAAAACAGAACCAAAGCAAACAGTGTCTACACGAAGCAGGGCAGCTGTGAGTGCTTGGCTGTGACTGGCAAATCTTGGTTAATGACCTTTGTGGAACCATGAGAAAAGGGTGAGGCGCAGTGGGAGCTGAGGACAACGTCGCCTGATTTTCAGAGTCAGGGGGACGATGCTGCAGCCTGTGGCTGTTCAATGTGACCCTGACTCCCGGTAACATTTTAGAGTGGGTTGTTAAGGGTCAGGCAGTTCTTAAACACTTAGAAAAGGAAGTGATTGCAGATGCTGGTATTGTTAAGAATAAAGCTGGCCAATTTTCCTTCTTGAAAGGGTTTCCAGCCTAGGACACTGAGGAAATGCTGCGCGTATAGGCATTTGACAGGAGTTCCTCATAGCATTTTTGATGCCAAGATGGCGGGATGTGGCCTGGTTGGCGGTACCCTGAGGCCTGTGTGAAGCTCAGTAACTGACCCAAAGCACAGAGTTTTGGTTCATGGATTGTTGCCGGTACAAAGGAATATCTCCAGTGGAGGTCCCCAGGTCTCTCTCCTCTGTTTAACATCTTTATGAATGACGCGGATAAAGGCATTTGAAAATCAAGGAAACTTGGAATGAGAAAGGTGAAGTGAGCTGTCACTGTGAAAGAAAGTGGTCAACTGCAGTGGTTCACATTAATTCGGACATTCCTGCGTCCTGGTCCAGTCTCTATCCAAAAGGCCCAGGCTTCTACCTGAGGATCATGGGAGTTAGTTTCCAGCTTTATCATGGACGAGTCGGGTGGATGGATGGGTGGATGGATGATAGATGAATGGATGGATGGATGGATAGACAGCTTATTAAGTAATTTATTCATTTATCAATTTATTAATTATGATTTACTTATCAAGTGATCACTATGTGCCAGGCATTGTCCAAAGTCCAGGAGTTACAGATACAGCAGAACAGACCCTACCCTCAAGGAGCGTACACTCTAATGGGAGAAGACGCCTCAGAAAGGGGAGCTGGAAAGCCGTGGAGAGGAGGGCGTTGGGGAGGGGAGGCTGCTGGTGAGGGGGCGACGTCCACAAAGGGGCGGCTCTGCCCACGCGGGGCTTCTGTCTCGTTGGTTTGGACTGAAGGGATCGGCCAATTCAGCGGAAACAAGGCGCTCATCCAGCAGGTGTATTATTTTTTTCCCACGGGATTGACAAGTTGGCTGGCCGTTAGGTTCAGCGTTGTCTCTGATGAGTTGTGTGATCTAGGACAGATCAGTCTGCAAAGAGTTGGACCGATGACCCCAGAGCTCTGTGCCAGGGCCAGATCTCTTACCTTCTTTTTTTTTTTTAATCTCTTACAGTCTAATGGCAAAAGTAGGGGGTGGAGCATGGTACAGCATGTACATGGGTAAATCCAAGGGAGAGACGATGTTAACTGGAGGTCATCAGAAAGGCTTCATGGAGGAGGTGACCTTGAGCAGGGCCTCAAAGAGAGGACAAAGGTTGTGCAGGGTAGGGATGAGAAAGCCCCTGCTTCTAGGCAGGGCGGGGGTGGGGCAGAGGCTAGTTCATGCTCGTACAGATGTGTGGAGGTGGGAGATGGCATCTTGAGTTTAAAGCCTGCATTCCTCCTAAGAGCGGAAAAAAAGGTTCCTTGACTAAAATTACAGGCAAGGGAGGCAGGAGAGATGAGCATGGTGAAGTGGGAAGGGGTGGGTGGTCTAATGCTGAGCCTCAGCATCAGGCAAAAGAGTGGATTTGATGCAGGGAGCCCAGCAAAGGTTTGGCAGAGGGGTGATGCGATGGGAGCAGCAGGTGGGCCATTGGGGGCGCCACAATGTACGGAGCGCTAGGTCTGGAGTCGGGAAGACCTGAGTTCAAATCCCACCTCAGACACTTACTAGCTGTTGGCAGGCCACTTAACAACTGTTGGCCTTAGTTTCCTCATCTGTAAAACGGGGATAAAAATGGCACTTACCTTCCAGGGTTGTTGTGAAGGTCAGATGAGGTAATGTTTGTAAAGCACTCATCACAGTGCCTGGCACGCAGCAGGTGCTATTTAATGATTGTTAGCAACGACATTACATGCATTATTATTATTATAAGCAGCCAGCAGTGAATGGATGAGGAAGGTGATCTGGTCAGCAGAAACTAGAGACAGCACGTAGCAGGGACCAAACGCTGTGTAAACACCATAAAGGCTCATATGGCGTCCTGTTTACTCAGCTGATTATGTTCAGTCAGTGCATCTCCCTCATCCATCCATCCATCTTCCATCCATCCATCTATGTATCTGCTCATCCATCCATCCATCTTCTCTCCATCCATCTATCCATCTATCCTTCCATCCATCTGCTCATCCATCCATCTAGTCATCCATCCATCTGCTCATTCATCCATCCATCCATCCATCCATCCATTCCTCCATCTCTCTATGCACTGTGCCAACCTAGCTGTCCATATATTTCTGTGTAAGTTACTAATATGCAGTAATTTATTAGATCCTGTGAATAACTGCATGAGAGTAAGTATTCCTGGCATCGTGCTCATATTACAGATGAGAAAACTGAGGCTCCGAGAGTCGAAATAACATGCTAGTGCTCATACATACTGGTCAGAGCCAGGATTCAGAACCAGGGCCTAGAGCACTACCCGCTCTACCAGACTGCCTCGTTCGGCTTTTCCTGCCAGACTCCTTTGAAACAGAAATCCACCAGAGCCCGTAGGTTCTCTTTGGAGCCACTTGTATTCGGTTTTGCCCCTAGGCCTCTAAGGCTGATGGGAATAAGAGGGTGGGCAAACAGCATGGCAGAAGTACAAGCTGCTGCTTGTAGGGATCATCTCGTTCTTTCTACTCGTGTCTTCAGTGTTTGTCTCACAGCAGGTGCTTAAGAAGTGCTGGCTGGTTGGAGGTTGGGTGATATGGTCATGACTGGCAGGCCTGGCCCTGAGCCTGCCCACCCCGCTGCCTGCAGTTGTCTTCTGCACACTTAAGACTGACTTTTCTGCAGGAGACAGGATTCAGCCTCATCCCTGGTATTTCTTCCCCTCTGGACACCTGATCACTGGTTTGAAGGTTTCATTGTTCCCTAACTCACTTCACCATCTCATCTGGAATGAAAGCTCATCAGCCTGGAAGTGTCCAGGCCGGACGTTGGCCCGAGGGGTCCCGACCGGACAGCCTGGCCTGGGGACGGGGCCATCTCCTCCATTCGGTGACTTCCTCCCTCTTTCCACCAGAGCTTGGGTTGGTCCTCCGCAGAAGCCGTGAGGGGTGCCAGGCGTTGGCATTTAAGGCGCCGAGGCGAGCCTCTCAGGGAGACAGTTTGGGGCGGAGCAGGGCAGGGCACAGATGGAGTGTGGACAAGTCCTAGTCTAGGGGGCATGGGCTACATTGTGGCTCTGCTAGCTGTGTGCCCCTGAACAAATCCCTTCACCTCCTTGTGCCTCAGTTTCCTTCTCTTTAAGACGATGAGAAAATGTTAAATTAGATGTTCTTTAAGGTTTCTTCCGTCCTGCAAATTCCATGATCTTTGATTGGTAGCCATCGTCCAAACTGAGGCCTCACTTCTACCTAAGGCAGTGACCGCGTCCGATGGTGTTTGCCGCGTTTGGCCCCTGCTGGTCCCCCCCTCCTTCGCCTTCTGCCCCCTGGGCCCACGAGGGGTCCTCGCAGTCATGGCGGCTGGGCTGCCTGAGTGTGTTGGCTCGTTCACTTTGTGCGCCGTCTCCTCCTGGCCCTCATCACTTTCCTCTGAGTAACGAGGAAGAAGAGCAGTCATCGTGATTATCACTAACGCTTCTATAGCACTTTAACGTTTGCCGAGCTCTGCACGTGGGTTCACTCACTTGATTCTCACGGCAACTCGGGAAGTAGGTGCGGCTGTTATCTCCATTTTCCAGATGCGGAAACTGAGTCTGTGCAGGGTTTCCTGGCTTGCCCGGGGTCCACAGGGAGTCGGGAAGGTGGCTCTTCCTGGTCGCACCTGGCTTCCTTGGCTCAGGGTGTCTCTGGTTCTCCAGCCACGCTGCCGCAAGTGTTGGGCTTAGACTTGATCCCGCCTGGGCCAAGGGGTCCAATCCCACAACCAGTGGTTTGTCCTTCAGACAAAGACTCATCACCAGCCACGAGAAACCTCTCCAGTTCCCCCCCAGCCCCGCCACCGGTGCCCGCTCCCATCCCCTCGTGTCCATTCTGAGCCTGCCTTTGGACGGCCCGCCTGTAGACGTGTTCCCTGGAGGGACCGTAAGCTCCTCACGGGCAGCCTGCATCCCCAGCACCCGGCACAGCCCCGGCACGTAGTAGGTGCTTAAGAAACGTTTGTGGACTGATTTCTAAAAATCTTCATGCAGATCTAGACATGCCGAAATTGGACGTACTTCCTCTTTAGTCACCCTAAGTTTAGATTTCATTCCTCATAATACATGTACGTACACATTTATGGCAAGGGAAAGAGGAAGAGGGAGAGAAAATGAAGGAAAGAGTAAGAAAAGGAGGGAGAGGGGAGCGAGAGAGAGACTGACAGTGGGAGAGAGAGGAGGAGGAGAGACAGACAGACAGACAGACAGACAGAGGCAGTTCGTGGTTCGTTTTGAGGAGTTCTGGGCTTAGGTTTTCCTGTCGATGAGTTGGGGATGACAATGTTTTCCACACCTCACCCGGGTTTTGGGGGAACTCACACGGTATTTTGATCCAGCCCTCAGCTTCCCCAAGAACAAGGGAGTGCCAGAAATGCAAGCTCGAGCTGTGAACAGTAATGTACGTGTCAGTAACAAGCCTTCTTGTCCTCCCAGACCCGGTGCCCGCCTACAAAGACTGGCGTAATGAAGCCGACAGCAGCTCCGAGGACCCGCCGTCCCTCGGCACCAGCCGCCTGCTGCATCACATCACGGACGGAGACCGCCCGCTCCTGTCGCCACGATGCTCCCTCTTTAGCCAAAGCCAGAGATTTAATTTAGACCCCGAATCTGCCCCTTCTCCGCCCAGCACTCAGCAGTTCATGATGTAAGGGAACGCCGTCCGGCCCAATTTGCTCTTCTCCGTTCTTCACGTGCCGTATTTATCGTTTGGTGTTTGTTTTCCCAGTGTGCCTCCTGCCTGCTGGGACGTGTGATGGGTTTGCTGGGATTGGGAGGGACGGGACGGGACGGGACGGGACGGGGCTCGTGACTGTTAAGTCCATGCCTGAGCAGCAGTGGGCGAAGTCCGTTGCTGCTGCTTTGGAAATGCTTCGAGGGGAGTTCATTGATCTTTTAGAAACATAATGCTCCATTCTGTTTTGCTACGGCAGAGCCTTCCCCACACACTCCCAGACAGATGTAGGGGCTCAGGCAGAAAGGACGGAGACACCCGTCTCCATGGGCAGCGTGGCATGGGCACTGACCCTGACCGACGTGCTTGGGCGGTTTTGCGCTTCCGTCTGCCACCTCGGTTGTCATGGGCCCCTTCATATTGTGGGGAGCTCACTCCTGGAAGGAAGGCTCATGAGGTGCCCACCTGCCCTGCTTGGGGGTGTGAGGCCAGGGGTGCGCTGCCGAACATTTCATCTGGAAAATTCCTGATGAAATGACAGAAGCGTCATTGGGAATGTAGAAAGTGTAGACGTGCTGTATGGGGCCAGAGGCTTTCTGCGTCCCAGAAAGACATGAGACCGTTCCATTGTCAGAATGCATGCTGGTTAGGGCCGCACTGAGGCACCCTCAGTTCCTCTCCAGATGGCCTTCCCTGGTCTTCTGGTCGACCCGGCTTTCGGGAGGGTCTGGCCGTTGGCAAGCCTCCTTCTCAGGTTCTGTCCCTGTCTCCTGTGCAGGCCCAGGAGTTCTTCAAGGTGCGAGGACGCGAAAGGGCCCCAGACGGTGACCCAGCTAACCAAGCACATCCAGAGCCTCAAGCGGAAAATCAGGAAATTCGAGGAAAAGTTTGAGCAGGAAAAGAAATACCGGGTGAGGCTAGGTGAAGCGGGTTCCTCCCTCCCTTCTCTGTTCACTTATGAAGGGAAAGTGTGGCCGAGGGCAGAGAGCGGAGGCCTCCACCCAGGAAGGGCTTGGATTCTGATCTCACCTGGGGCAGTGGTTCCAAGTGTGTGGCTGTCACCAAGTCCTTTGACCTCTAGTCTCAGTTTCCCCAGTGCTGTCTGGCTCTCAAGGCTGCTGTGAGGACCCAGGAAGAGCGCCTGCGTGCGTGGTGCTTCACAAACCTTCACGCGCTCAGCCGTGTGTTCTCCCTGGCCCCCCCAGGTTCCTCCACCTCGCCCCCTCTGCCCCCTCCTCTCACCATCCTGGGCACTGAGGATCTCCAGAAGGCCCTGGGAGGCAGTGATCTCGGGCGGGAGATCAGGCCCCGCGGTCCGAGGGTGGGTGTGATCGATCCCTCGGGCTGGCAGCTGCCCGCTCCGCCCATCCCCGTGCTCGACCCTTGGGAGGGCCTCCCTGGCAGAAGGATGCCACCGCCCCAGTGCTTCTGGGTCCACGGCGCCGTCCTTCCTCAGAACGCGATTTCATGAAGGAAACTTCTTGAGGTTGCAGCTCCGATGGGGCTGTCCTCATGATCGGCACTGGGTCCTTTCGGTCTGTCCATCTGTGGAGATTGGTACTTGGTGCTGGGGAATAAGGTCATCCGATAGCACGGGACTCTCTCAGAGCGTCTGTCGGGGTTCCGGGGGCCCCCGGAGGCCATCCCGGCTGAGCCTCATCTGGAAGCCAGGGGCCACTCAGCCTGGCCTTGGAGGCCCTCAGGGAGGGGGATGCCTGCCGTCCTGAGGCGGCCATTCTGTTTGGGGACCGCTCTCGACACTGGGGAGTTTGACCAGTGGTTCAAGCCTGAACGCACCTCTGTCATTTCCACAACTGCACCTCTGTGGGGTCAGGGCCTCTGTTGGTGGGCAGGGGACGCTTGGGGACCCCACCTTAGAATCCTGCTTTTAAAAGATTGAAAGAAATATACTAATCAATCACATTATTGTAGCGCTCTCAGGTATCAGTTGTGGTTCAGCCGTTTTAGTCGTGTCTGACTGTTCCTGGCCCTATTTGGGGTTTTCTTGGCCAAAATACTGGAGTGGTTTGCCATTTTCTTCTCAGATGAGGAAACTGAGGCAAACAGGGTGAAGTGACTTGCCCAGGGTCACACAGCTAGTAAATGTCTGAGGCTGGATTTGAACTCGGGAAGATGAGTCTCCCTGACTCCAAGCCTGGTGCTCTATCCGCTGCACCTCTAAGGTATACAAAGCACTTTCCTCATGGTCACTATGGAAAGTGGGTAGTACGTGCTTATCCCTATTTTATAAGTGAGGAAATCAGTCAATACACATTTATTATGTGCCAGGCCTGTGATAAGTGTTGGGGATACCAAAAAATGAAAATAAAGAAAGGCAGAAGATAATTTTTTATTTTAATTGTAAACATAGTTATCAGTATAACTCTGGGGTTCTTTTCCTTTTCTTTCTTTCTTTTTTTTTTGCCACACACTGCTTTGGCAGAATGGTGAGGTCTACAGATCCCTTTCCGGAATGTTTTTAAATGTATAAAATACATAAGATTACACAGTGCACCAATTATATTGAGATATAATTATTGGAAAAATTTTTGAAGTCCCTGTACCCCAGACTCTGAAGCCCTGGACTAACTAGTAAATGGCAGAAGCTCTCATGATTTGTAACTAATGCCAAAGAAATTGAAATTCCTTCCCACAGCATAGGAAGTAGAATACTGTACAGTGGAAAAAACTCTGGATTTAAGTCCCAGATTAAAATCGTGGTTATGCCACAAGTCATTTTCTCTCCCTAAGCCTCCATTCCCTCATCAGCAAAAAAGGGGTGGGGGAGAAGAGAGGACGCTAAATACCCTCTAAGGTCCTTTCCAGCTCTAATCACAGTCATTTGGTGGGGGGAGAATAACCTCATTACCATCCTCCAAATGGCTCCCACAATTTAAGATAAAAATCTATGCCAAAGTATGTCTCGAAGATTTTTCCAAATAGTGAAACCTCAGTTTAGTTGGACTGTTGGTTTGTGGTGTTTTGTTTTTTTTTTTTTTGGGGGGGGGGGCTTCCCTTTATTTAAAGGGAGGTAAAGAAGTTGGGAGGGGAAGGGCAGCACAGTTCAAAGTGAGGAGAAGTAAGGAACTTGGGGTCTTCTGCCACGTAAGTCATAAAGTTTCAGATGACAATGTTGGTGCTGAAAGGAAGCTTAGAACCGTAAAACACAGTAAGTCTGAGCTGGAAGGATGTCACAAGGTTCAACTCTCCCATACTTTCAAGGAGCTTACCACCTAATGGGGGAGTCAGGTTATGCATATGGACAAACACGCTATCTGCAGGATAAATCAGAAATACTTAAGAGGGGGAAGGTATAGAATTCAGAGGATTTAGGGATGGCTTCTGGTAAAAGACGGGATTTTCGTTGGGACATAAAGGAAGCCAGAGGGGTCAGTAGGGAGAGCAGAGGAGGGAGAGGGCTCCGGGGCTGGGGGACAGGCAGAGAGAATGCCCAGAGCTGGGAGATGGAGGGTCTGGTCATGGAGTGGCCAGGAGGCTGGTGTCGCTGGGTTAAAGAGTCCATGTTGGGGAGTCAGGTGTAAGAAGACTGGAAAGGGAGGAAGGGGCTTTGAAGGCCAAGCAGCATTTTGTACTTGATCCTGCAGGTGCTAGGGGGCCACTGGAGTTTATTGAGTAGGAGTGTGACGTGATCAAACATGAGCTTTTGGAAAGTCCCTTTAGTGGCTGAATGGAGAAGGGAACTGGAGTGGGGAGAGACCTGAGGCGGCCGGACCCACCACAGTCCAGGCGTGAGGGGATGAAGGCCTGCGCTAGGGTGAGGGCCATGTTGGAGGAGGGCAGGGGCATAGTCGAGCCATGGTACAGAGGTGAAATGACAGGGTGTGGCGCCATGTTGGATATGAGGGAGTGAGAGATATTGAGGAGTCCGGGACGACTCCTGGGTCGTGAGCCTGGGGGTGTGGGAGGATGGTAATCCCCTCTACACTAACAGGCAAAGTAGAAGGGGAGAAGGGGTCGGGGGAAAGGCACCGCCAGGTTTAGGTGAACAAAACATTTATGAATGAGTAAATTATTGCATGAAAGCATGAAGCATTTCTCAAGTGCTTACCATGTGCAGATTCCCGGGGAACACACACAGAAGTTTGAGGGTCCCTCCTTTCAGGGAGCCCACACCCTCTTGAGGGGAGGCTCTCCACGTTTCGGGGCATCACGGCTCTGCTGGAGGAGATCCCCTCCCTCATTGTGCAGGGAAGGAAGCCAAGGCCCAGAGAGGGGAGCCGCCTTTTCTGAGGCTGCACAGCTGGTCAGGGGCAGAGCCAGGATCCCAGCCCAGGTGTGTCAACTCGGTGCAGAGGGCTCGGCTGCTCTCGGCAGGCAGGGGAGGCCGTCGGGCTGAAGCGACTGTTAATTAGATCGTCTCCCCTGACTTGCGCTCTCTGTTGCAGCCTTCTCATGGAGACAAGACTTCAAATCCTGAAGTCCTGAAATGGATGAATGACTTGGCCAAAGGCCGCAAGCAGCTCAAAGGTAACCAGCAGGTGGGGACGGGGGCAGGGCAGGGAGGATCCGGGGCCCCTCTGCAGTGTCGAAGGGGTCCTGGGGCTGTCGTGGCCTCCACCTTGCCTTCTGCCTTTGCATTGGGGAGGATGTGGAAGGATGTCTGGGGCCCCCCTGGGGCTCACCTCGCATCTGCCCCGCTTGGTCGAATGTGGGGAATCGGGGGTCTGATCTCTGGTCTGTAAGGGGCCCCACCTCACAACAAAGCCGTTTCTGGCACTCCCGCTTGGGATGTGAGCGGGCCCCAGGGAGAGCCAGTGTTGACCAGCTCCTAGGGGCCTGACACATTTCTATGGGAAAAGCCACTTTGAAGGGATTGCTTTGGGTTGGTAACTGTCCATCTTCCCCTGGAGCCATGTTTTTGCCCTTTTTATGTGGCCCCACTGACGAGCAGAGGAAGTGTTAATAAATGCTCATTGATTGACTAATTCTAGACCTTCCTCTTCTTACTTTTCCACCATGACATAACATTTTTCTTCAACTTTTGGAAAGTCTCTGCTTGAAGGAACACTAATTACACTGTCTTGAGCTAGAATTATCAATACAGCAGGTGGAGATGTTGATACTTCTGAAGGATGGTGTTTATGATGGAGGAATTTCAGGCATCCTTACAAGCGGTGAGGGAGGCATTTTGGGGTGCTTTGATTTATTAAAATGCTGCACCAAGACAGCCTAGTATTGTCCAGTTGATGGAGCTATGAGAAGGAAACATGCCTCCCTCTTCTTGTTGCGGGGGAAGGGAACGGGGACTGTGGATGCAGGGTGAGCCGCATGAGGGTAGGCAGATTGGCTTTGTCTCCAACTGTTATTCTTTGTAATAGGGAAGGATTCAACAGGCCGGAGATGACTGAAATAAAAACAATATGCAACGATAAAGTTTCTTATTTTATTTTTTTAATCTTATTTAACATTTTTCCCCAATTACATGTAAAAACAATGTTAACATTCTTTTTTTCAAATTTTGAGTTCCAAATTCTGCACCGCCAGGAGACAAGCAGTTTGACATAGGTGATACACATGTAGTCATGCAAAACACAATTCCATGTAAGTCATTCTGTGAAAGAAAACACAGACAAAAAAAAAATCCAAGAAAAATGAAATAAAGGAAAAGTATCTTTGATCTGCAGTCAGGCTCTACCAGTCCTTTCTCTGGAGATGGGCAGCACCTTTCATCATAAGTCCCACAGAATTTTAAAAAATTTTAACAGAAAATGCACATGATTGACAAAAATGCAGTGTAATTGTGACTGGCCCTTAAATGTTGACCATTTAAATGCTTAGTCACTTTCCTTACTCTTCAGATTGTAATTAAGAAGCGTGATGTGGAAAAAATAAATTGCTTGGAGGTCGATAAACAAAGTCTGTCAGGGCATTCCGGGGTGCCGAGGGTCCAGTTCCAGACAGTCTGTTTACTAAGAATGGTATTAAAAGTCACATGGCAGGGACATGACTTCCTGGTATGGCTCTGACGCCAGCAAAGCTCGTTTTGGGCATTCCTGGCCTGGGCCCAGCCCCTCTCTGCTGTCTCCTGGAATCCCTCCAGACGTCTGCCTCCCATCGCCCCTCCAATGTTGGCTAATAAGTGTACCCTTCCTAGGGGGAGCTACGTGTTTATGAAGCCCCTCAGAGTCTTTAGAGGCTGAAGGAAGGATTGCCAAGCACCTTTGAATGCGGTGAGGGAGACATTTGGGAGTCAGAAAGCCTACACGGTCCTTTTCTGGCCCCACTCCTTAGGGGGCTGCCCACCTTGCTTCAGGAAGGTTGGCTCTCCCTCCACGTTCAGGCCTGTCCAGTGTGTGGGGCTGGTCTGACTTGGAGTGCTGATCATGTGATCACGGAAAGGCCATGAGTGATGGTGGGTCATTTGTGTTCATTGGTGGTGTTTCCCACAGAACTGAAGCTAAAGCTCTCAGAGCAACAGGGGAGTATGCCCAAAGCTATGCCACACCAGACCCTGCATCAGGAACCAGCTGCCATTCCCAAAGAGATGGAGAAGCCAGAAGCTGCAGGCACTGAGCCAAATTCCTCTGGGGAAGAGATGCCAGATGCCCTGGTCAAGCAGCTGAAGGAGCAGAGAGAACCACTGACTGCCCAGGAAGATGCCAAGGTATGTCAGGAAGTGCCCTGAATGATGCCAGCTCCGCCTCTCACTGCACTCCAAGATTTGTCAGTCATTGGAGGCTGGGGAACATATGGAGGCTGGCACCTTGAGGGTTTGCATTCCGGTTAATGGGCTGCTTGGGCATCCCATCCATTGGAGATGGATGCCGAAGGCTTGTTTGTAAGCACAAGTTGGATTGGGGTCCCTGGTTACACTGGGGACATTTCTTGTGGATGATGAGATTGTTCTAGAAAGGCTGTCATTCTGCACTGCTGGGAGGTAGGGCCATCTGATTCCATCCCAGGATACCTTTTGGGGAAGTGAACCAAAGGGGAATGGCAGCAACCCAGTTTTAGTTCTTGGAAGGAAAAATGGTGCTACCAGATCCCCCACTACTCATCCCCCAACCCTCTGGCCCATCCCTTATAACAGCCATGTCAGACTCAAATAGAAATAGATTCCTTTGGTCAGCAAATTCACTGAGAAGACCACAAATTAACATTATTTCTGTTATACTGTATTTTCGTTTATTTGGTTAAACATTTCCTAATTATATTTTGATCTGGTTTGCTTGGTAGTCAGGAGTTTTGCTGGGCATGGGAATTTGACACCACTGATGTTTACTATCCATCAGTCCTAGCGAGCCTAGCCCAAACTCAGGAAATGGAATTACTTGCTCTTCAGCACTCCATTCTCCTTTCTGCATTCTGCCCTCACATTCATTGCCCGTCCCCTTCCCAAAGAGCCCAGTGCCATCATGATGCCTGCTGCTGCCAAGATCGCTCTCCAGGAGCCTTTGTCTTAAGGAAAGGATCTTCTAGGTAGCACTGCACACTCCTGACGTTCTTTGTTCTGATAGCTACCTTCGGGACATTCTACCAATTTCTTGCCAAAATCGTGAAGCCAGAATGGAAAACCATGATCCAGCTGTGGTCTGACCATAAGAGAGGGCACTGGGATTCACCTCCGCATTCCTAGCTCTTGGCACCATGTCTCGCTGTCAGCCTCTCTTTGGTTGCCTTGCACAAATGCTGTTGAGACAAACTTCCCTCCGATCCTGACTCCTCCATCTTGGATTTGTGAAGTAGATTTCTGGAGCTCAAATATCTGACTTTATATTTATACCTATTACATTTCATCTTAGTAGATTCTGCCCAGTGTTTGGAGGATCATAGCATCATATTAGCCTATCAGTGTCTTTTTGGACCCTACCTCTGTCTCCCAGGGTGAGTTATCCACCTGCAGATTGGGGAAGCATGCCTTTCTTCCAGTCATTGATGGAAATATAAATCAGCATTGGCCTCAGCACAGACCACTGGGGTATACCCTTGGAGACCTCCTTTCAAGTTGACATGCAACCACTATTGACCATCCTTTGAACCTAATTATACTATTGACTAGCTGACATCTGGTCATCTTGTTCACGAGGTAAACTATCTGTAGCATTCTCCTCACTTGCCACTTTAATGACCCTGTCCACAAAAGAAATACACTTAATCAGTCAATCGATATTTATTAAGTGCCTTCATCTGTCATGACCTATTCTTGGTGAGGTCTTGCTGGGTCTTTGGGATTCCAGCTTCCTTTTCTAGAGAGACGCTAATTCTGTATTTAGTTGTAGAACCTAGACTCTTGCCAGGAATCAGGGTCAAAGTCATTGGTCTCTAATTTACACTCTTCACTTTTTAAGAAACAGATGAGGAGAACATTTGTTGTAGTCCTTCGGGCCTTTCTTGTTCTCTGTGACCTTTCAGATGTCCTCGTGAGTAGAGATCTAGCGTTGGATGGACGTCAAGGTCATCTTGTTTAGGTCCATCCTTTCAGAGGAGGAATCAGACCTCGGGGAGTTCAGTGACTTGCCTGGAATCACGGAGTAAGTGTCCGAGTCAGGAGGAGAACTCGGGGCTTCTGACTCCCGGCCTAGCACCAAATCCAGCACCCTTTCCACTCTGCCGGTGACGGTGGTCGGTCCTTGTCACCTGCCAGTTCTTTTAGACCCAAGAATGTGGTTGATCTCATTGGGCAGCCCAGCCGCCTCTTCCTCATCCTCTACTGAGCTCTCAGACTCCGTTAGCCTTTTTTGTTTTATTTTTGCCAGGCTGGAGGCCGAGAAAACAGCGCCATAGGATCTGAAAGCTCTGCTTTCTTTGTGAGCAGGAGTCATTTTACATCTATCCTGCACAGAAATCCTCTCTCCCCCAGAGCTGAGAACACCCTTCTTGGTCGTCTTGGGTTTTCTCAGCTCGTTCTGATCTTTACCCCTCCCGATGCACAGGCCTGAGACATGCTGTTGGGCTCTTCAGTTCCCCGTCCTTGTTTTCATCTTGTGGATGTGTCCTTTAAAAATCCAAGTTGCTTGGTTCTGGGTCACACAGGTCTTATGTGAAAAGCCAGGACTTGAGTCTAGACCAGTCCTTTTGCTTCAGATATGGTACTCGATTCTCACCATATCACTGTGATCTCTAGTGAATATCCCCTAGGGCACAGCCTGAGGATCCTTCATTAAATTCCCACTGGCACAAAACTAGTAAGTCCACATCAGTGTCGGTATAGAGGACAGGTTGTGGAGGACTGGGAAAGCCAAGTTAAGGGGTTTGGACTTTATGTGGGTAGGCCATAGGGAGAGTTGGTTTTTCTTTTTTTTCCGCTGTGTTTAAGGAAGCCCTGCATTCAATGGCGCCAGCTAGAAGGGTGGTCACCATAATCTAGATATGAGATGATGAAAGCCTGGATGAGGATGGTGGCTGTGGGAGTGGAAGGAAGATGTAGATACATCAGAGGAAAGATCAGTGAGATTTGGTCCCTGGCTGGATCCTGGAGATGAAGTGGAGGGAGAGTTGATGCAAAGACAGTGAAATGAGGTGGGGATTTGGGGCTTCATGGACTCAATCATCTTCCTTTTTCAGTGCAGGACTTTAAAAGTTAAGATCTTCCATCTATCTAAAATAGACAGGCTCCTTTTCAGCAAGTTGGCTCACAAGGACATTGGCAGGGTTTTTGTTCAGTACTTTTAAAAACTGCATGCTTCCCTGTGCTAATTGATTAGCAGTTTGCCAGGGTTCTGATCCTTGGCGTCAGGGTCCCGGGATTGTTTTGGCTTTTCCAAACAATACGTGTTTATGAGGGGAGCAGTAATTAATGTCTTGCTTTTCAGGTAATGAAACAAGACAAGAGCCTGATCAAGCCCCTTTATGACCGATACAGAATCATCAAGCAGCTCTTGTCCACGCCTTCCCTGATCCCCACCATTGTAAGTCTCAGGGCTCTCTAGGAATCGGGAAGGTGGTGATGGAGATCCAGGCCATGGCGGGGTGACTAGGCCCAGAGCTGAGAGAGTAAACACGGCAGCTTCTCTCATCCCCCCGGGGCAGTGGTCAGTCCTTGGGGATGCTATGCACCAAGCATGGAGTACTTCTGTTTTAAGAATCATTTTTAATGTTCACTGTTAATATTTTGTGGGGAGGGAAGGAAACCATAGTTTTCCAATTGGCATTGACTGCAAACGCTCCACCGTCCAGCCAGGGGAAATAGGTCCTTCTTATTCTGTGTATGTGAGTGAATTTATCTGCTTTAAAAAGAAAGTTGGAAGAATGTTTTTTTTTAAACATACTTGAGTCATGTTTTGGCCATTATCTGAGGTTAAAGTAGGAGCTTAGAAATTACTGACTGGCCTTTTTTTTAAAGAGTAATTGATTGCAATGCAAACAACTAAGAACGCTGATACATCCTCTTTGATCAACAGCAAAGAAACAAATGCTCGGTGCAGCACACACTTCCAAATAATGAAGAAATATTAACACCTAACAATAAATGTTAAATACTTGAACAGATGTATATGTCCTTTTGGTATTTTTTTTAGTGTAAAGCACTTTGAGAGAGAGCTGGGGGGAGATGGTCCAGTGCCGCACTTGGAGTCAGAAAGACCTGGGTCGTCATTTATCACCGGTGTGACTTTGATTAAGTCACTTAACCACTCTGGGCCTCAGTTTCCTCGTCTCTAAAACAAGAGAGTTAGATCAGATCGCTTCTGACGCTTCTCTGAGCAAATTCGTTACCCTCTCACCTGGGTTTATGTCTTACCTCCTGACTGACTAGCTTTGTGCCTGTGGCAGTTTAATGAATGCTCCTCAGGCTGTGCCCTGGCGGATATTCACTAGAGGTCAGACTGTATCTGAAGCAAAAGGACTGGTCTAGACTCAAGCCCTGGCTTTTCACAGAAGACCCGTGTGATCCAGAACCTAGATGTCAATTTTGGGCATCACTGAATACAAGTGCCCCAAGCTCATTCTGCCCCTAATCTGCATCCTGGGCTGTAACCGTGGGGCCTCAGAACCCTTGTACACAGGGGGCAAACCCAAAAAAGGGGAGGCTGATGTGGCCAGCCTTGTGAGGAGGGGCACTTGATTTCAGCAGTGTGGAAGAAAATCGTGGGTCATTTCAGCTGCCCCCGCCTTGACCTTCTTCCATGACCGTCCCTTAGGTAATTCAGCTATTCCCAAGAGAGATTTCCTTTTCCTTAAAGGATAGCCCATCAAGGATGGTCCCAGTACTGTCTTATTTCAAAGATGTTATTAGATAGAGAGCTGGGGAAAAGACCTTAGAAATGAGCTAGCAGAACCCCTTATTTCACAGACAAGGAAACTGATGACCAGAGCAGTCAGTCAGTCAATCAACAACCATTCATTTAGCAACTGTTATGTGTCAGGCCCCATGCTATATGCTGTGGATACACAAACAGAAGTGAGATGACAGTCACTGCCCTCAAGGTGATGAGCCCCAGGGTTTGGAACCCACCCAGGTTCTCTGCCTCCAAAGCCAGGAGTCCCTGTACACGCGTTCACTGCCTCTCTTCAGGATACTTAGTGTTTGGTAACCCTTCCTTCCTTCCTTCCTTCCTTCCTTCCTTCCTTCCTTCCTTCCTTCCTTCCTTCCTTCCTTCCTTCCTTCCTTCCTTCCATCCTTCCTTCCTTCCTTCTTTCCTTCCTTCCTCCCTTCCTTCCTTCCCTCTTTCCTTCGTTCTTTCCTTCCTCCCTTCCTTCCTTCCTTCTTTCCTTCCTTCCTCCCTTCCTTCC